CTTCCTCCTCCAGCCCTCAGAAGGGGCAGCACCATGGGCCACCCCAGGACTGGTATTGGCCCCTCAGCAAAGCCCCATGCAGCCTCAGTCACTCTGTCCCACCCACAAATGCCAAACCCCTCACTGGTGAATTTTTATGAGCAGCATTTTTTTAAATTGTGACTTTTTTTTATAGACAGCCCCATTCCTTCCCTGCATCTGCTCCAGAGGGCAGGAAGGCCAAAGGGTCAGAGGCTTGAGGAATGCAGGGTTGTGTGGGTAAAAGGACACCCCTCAGAAGGTCCCAGACCCTAGCTCCACCAGGAAGTAAGACCACCAAGCCAGTAAAATATTCATCTCTGGGTTGGGGATCAAAGGGCGATTCCCCTTCCTAGAATACCTTTTTCTATAGGGTTTTAATTTTTTACAATGGCCAAGAAGAACTCTGGCAGACAGGAACACAAATAAAGCACCGATGACATTGGTGTGGGCTCCAGGGTGGGAAGGCAGCATCTCCGGCAGGTCCCACTGAGGCCTGGTCCCCACTGGGAAAGCTCCAGATGCAAGGGCTCAGGGCTCCCTCCCCTCCACACCCCGCCCTGCGGGAGGGGTGCACATGGGGCCTCCTTGTACAACCTGTGCAGGCAGTAAATCCAGCCTCAGCCTCAGCACTCAGGCCATAAATCACAGAAAGCTCTGCAGGCAGCTGCGCACACCCCGGAGCAAGGCCTCCGGGTTCCTGCAGCACACCAGGAAGGCGGACTGGCAGGAGGTCCGATTCCTGCTGTCTGCTGCTGGCGCCCCGCAGCTCCCTACCCTGACTCCAGACCGGTAAGAGAAGAGGCCCAGAGCTCAGCAGATTCCAAGGGACTTAGGGCAGGTGTGGCGGTGAGGACCCTCTCAAGTGACACTGTGGTGCACTCCTCCCCTCCCCTCAGCAGTTCAGGATCTCACCACACCAGGTCCTGGGCCTAGCACTTCCCTGACAGCCTGAGAGGGAGCTGTGATTTCCTCTTCACAGGTGAGGCCCGTCAGGTTGAGAGTTCAATGTCTTTCCAAAATCACAGAGGTGGACCAAGCCTGAAACCAAGCATGACTGACGACCATATCCAGGCTCCCTGCCCCAGTCCACCACCTTCCCCTGCATGCTGCAAAACTGTGTGACCTCTAACGGGTCATCTCCCCTCTCCAGACCTTTGTGTTCTCATCTGTAAAGTGACAGTCAGTCAATGAGTCCATGCTGAGCCCACTGTGGCTCGAAGGTCCCACGGCTCTCCCTCTTCCTGAATGTGCACGTGGCACCAGGGCACACAGAAGAGGCAGAGACCACATGGGAGAATCCCTCACACACCTTAGGCAGAGCCAGCTCAGCTCCCTGACAGTGGGGACTCCTGGCCTCCCTGTGCTCCTGCTCCCACCATGTTACAGCCTGAAGCCGCCTCCAGGAACTTGGAGGAGTGGCTGGTGTCTAAAGCTTGCCTCTGGACAATCTCTTCCCAGATCACCTGATGTCTGATCATGGGAAACGGGTCCTTTGGCTAACCAGAGCTCATATCTATCAATTCTTTTCATCCCTCCAACAGCTGGGTAGTTATACATCAAAGGGGCTGCCACAGGGTCTGGCCCACAGTAGGTCTTAACGAACATCTGTCCATGGATGAATGGACAGATAAGTGGATGGATGGATGAGGGAAGAGCTGGAAGAGTGATTAGGAGACTCAAGGATGAAGGGGTGCTATTCATGAACTGAGGTGCCCTGGTGAGGTTGGCCTGGGGTGGTGGACATAGGAAAGGAGCTTGCAGTCACAGGGCTATCTGGAGGCCTTGGTGACACAGGCAGGAGTGGGGGCGGGGGGGCAGGCAGAGCTCAGCTTACTGACCACAGCTTACTGATCACTGAGGTTCTGCGACACACAGTACACTGGCGGGCACAGAGGCTGTGAGCCATCATGGCGGGTAACGACAAGCCCTTGCTACCTGCCTGCTAAGCCCACACTGAGCAGCGGCTCCACCCAAGACTCTCATATGTCTCAGCAGAGCCGGGACTGGCTGGGCCTGGGCCTGGATGTCCAATAATATGGTTTGGCTCTGTGTCCCCACCCAAATCTCATGTGGAATTGCAATCTCCAATGCTGGGGTTGGGATGTGGTAGGAGGTTGGATCCTGGGTGTGGATTTCCCCCTTGCTGTTCTCATGATAGTGAGTTCTCACGAGATCTGGTTGTTTGCAAGTGTGTGTCTCTTCCCCGCTTTGCTCTCTCTCCTGTTGCCATGTGAAGATGTGCCCACTCCCCTTCACCTCCTGCCATAATTGTAAGTTTCCGGAGCCTTCCCCAGCCATAGTTCCTGTATAGCCTATGGAACTGCGAGTCAATTAAACCTCTTTTCTTTGTAAATTACCCAGTCTCAGGTAGTTCTTTATAGCAGTGTGAGAACAGACTAATACAGCCAATGACTACAGCAGGCTCTGGTCCTGTCTAGGGTCAGCAGGCCCTGGAACACCCAGAGCATCATTCACTGCCCCTTCTCTAGTGGACACAGCCCCAAGACTAGAGTTGCCACATGAAATACCAATGCAGGCCAGGCGTGGTGGCTCACGCCTGTAATCCCAGCACTTTGAGAAGCCAAGGCGGGCAGATCAAGAGATTGAGACCATCCTGGCCAACATGGTGAAACCCTGTCTCTATTAAAAATACAAAAACTAGCTGGGCATGGTGGCATATGCCTGTAGTCCCAGCTACTTGGGAGACTGAGGCAGGAGAATCGCTTGAACCCAGGAGGCAGAGGTTTTAGTGAGCCGAGATTGTGCCATTGCACTCAAGCCTGGAGAAAGAGTGAGTCACCGTCAGAGGGGGCGGAAGAAATACTGATGCAATACAGGGGCCACACTTACATAAAGAATGTGTTTTCATATCTGAAATTCGAATTTAACTGGGCATCTTGTATTTTTATTGGCAAAATCTGACAACCCTATCCAAGCCCAGGCATCTCTAGGTGGGCAAATCTCTGGGGCCCACACCCACCAATACCGTGAAATCCCCCAACTTCTGAGAGGAGAGGCCAGAGTGGCAGGCCCAAGAAACAGCTCTCAGATATGAAAAGATCTCCCAGTGAGGACAGCTGGGGACTCCAATGAGACAGTGGCAACTCTTCCGCACCAGGAGGATGGAGGGAAGTACTCCCCAGGCCCTGTTCCTCCCCTGGCTCCAGCGGCACGTGCCCTTTTTCTGAAGAATCCCACACAGCCTGTTCCCACCCAGCAGAGCCCTGGTAAGGGCTGGGGCAAGAGTGGTGGCCCAGCCATTTCCCACTTCCTCCTCTAAGAAGCCTTGTCCATGACTCATGCTTCCCTGATCTGTCCATATATTCTCACAACCGATTACATGGCCCTTGTCCTTTTCCATTGTCTTGTGTGCCTGAGGGCTCCCAGCTGAAATCAGAAGCCCCAGCCAGCAGACTGAGTGCCAGTCCTACAGCTCAGCACAATGCAGGAAACCAGCGCTCAAGTGAGACATAAAGAACAGTGAAAGCCTTGAGCAAGAAAAGGCATGCCTCTGAGCCACCATTTCTGTGTCGGAATGAAGGGCGCTTGCTCACAGAGGTTGATGGGAAGATTACACAACACCAAAGGCTCCTTACCAGTTTGGCCAGTAAGAGCCCGTTAGTCCACGTCCATTTCCTTTATTTACTTTTTTAAAAAACAGAGATGGGGTCTTGCTGTGTTGCCCAGACTGGTCTTGAACTCACGGCCTCAAGTGATCCTCCCACCTTGGCCTCCCAAAGTGCTGGAATTACAGGGATGAACCACTACAGGCCACTTTATTTTTTGTTTTATTTTAATTTTAAAATGATTTTTAATTGTGGTAAAATATACACGACATAAAAGTCACAACCTCGATATTAAGTGTACCGTTCAGTGGTACTCAGTCAATTCCCAGTGTTGTGCAACCGCCATCACCATCCATCCCTAGAATTCTAAACTCTACACCCATTAAACACTCCCTCCCCCCTCCCTCCTGTCCCCCCAGGCCCTGGCAACCACCAATCTACTTTCTGTCTCGGTGAATTTGACTACTCCAGGTACCACGTATCAGGGGAATCATACAGTATTTGTCTTTTCGTGACTGGCTTATTCCACTTGGCATAATGACCTCATGGTTCACCTGTGTCGTGGCCTGTCCTTCCTTCCTTGTGGAAGCTGAAGGATCATTCCATCGCGTGTGGCTCCCTGTGTTTATCCACTCACCTGCCCATGGACACGGGGATTGCTTCTACCTCCTGCCTATGGTGAGAATGTTGCTGTGAATGTGGCTGTGCAAACATCTCGTTGAGACCCTGCTTTCAATTCTGTAGAGTATACACACCAAAGTGAAAATGCCGGATCTTATGTTAATTCTGCTTGTTTTTTTTTTTTTTAGACGGAGTTTCTTGTTGCCCAGGCTGGAGTACAATGGCACGATCTTGGCTCACTGCAACCTCCGCATCCTGGGTTCAAACAATTCTCCTGCCTCAGCCTCCCGAGTAGCTGTGATTACAGGCATGCACTATCACGCCTGGCTAGTTTTGTATTTTTTAGTAGAGATGGGGTTTCCCCATCTTGGTCAGGCTGGTTTTGAACTCCTGACTTTAGGTGATCCACCTGCCTCAGCCTCCCAAATTGCTGGGATTACAGGTGTGAGCCACTGTGCCTGGCCCCTCTGCTTCATTTTTTGAGGAACCATCACACTGTTTTCTATAGCAACTGCACGATTTCACATTCCCACCCGCACGCAGTGCACAAGGGTCCAGTTTCTCCAATTTCTCCATGTCCTCCAATACTTGCTCTTTGCTTTTTTTTGAGATGGGGTTTTGTTTTTGTTGCTCAGGCCGAATTGCAATGGCAATGGGATCAGTTCACTGCATTCCACCTCCTGGGTTTGAGCGATTCTCCTGCTTCAGCCTCCCAAGTAGCTGGGATTACAGGTACACACCACCATGCCCGGCTACTTTTTATATTTTTAGTAGAGACAGGGTTTCACCATGTTGGCCAGGCTGGTCTCAAACTCCTGACCTCAAGTGGTCCACCCACCTTGGCCTCCCAAAGTGCTGGGATTACAGGCATGAGCCACGGTGCCCGGCCCTCTCTGCTCTTTTAATAGCAGACATCCTGAGTGTGTGAGGGGGCTGTTTCCTTTTGCTTTGGACCCATACACCTTCCAGCCCTGCTCACAGCAGGCTCTCCATGGAGGTTCACCCGTGAACTAGATTCTGTCCTGAGCTTCCTCCCCTGGTCTTCTGGCTCTTAGGAGGCAAAGAGGCTCTCCCTGTGGGGGACCTTGGGCCTGTGGCCCTTGGGGATTATTTACAGCCAGGGCCACCTCTGGCCTCCCCTTGGGCAGGCTCAAGGATGAGACCTTCTGGGGGAGTGGGAGGCAGGGAGCCAGGCACAGAGTGCACAATTCTCGCCACCAGGTGCCACCAGGCAATCTCAGCCTTGTGGCTTTCTGCTGGTGCATTCAAGTTAACCCACTCATCAGCTCCCACAGGACCACGGACAAACACACGCCCTGTGACAGTGGATCTGGGCTCCTTGAGACTGCTGACTCCTTTCCAGCTGTAGGCACCGACTCTGCTCCTGTTCCCAGTTCCTAGCAATAGGCTTCTTGTCTCCCCAAACCCAGTTCTCTCTGCCCCGAAAGGCTGAGTGGGTGGAAGCATGAAAAGCCACCAGTGCTGTCTCCCAAAGGCCCTGCACACTCACCCAGGCGCCCAGGAACCAACCACCCACGGACTCAACAGCACAGATAGGAGAAGGCATGACAGAAAAGGCACCAAGGAGGTCATGGAAACAGTAAGCTCTGATGGAGGGAAGGCCTGGAATGATCCAGAACAAGACTGGGGATAGCAGGTGTTGGAAACAGATGCTTGGTGCGACAAAGAAAAAAGAGCACTGAGACAAAGGATTTTTTAGCAATGCTCTTTTTACTTCCTGTGCTGCAGGAAGGGTACCCTCACTAGCCATTGTGCCATGAGACCACTGTGTCTGATCTCCGTTGGCTGGAGCCAGACCTCACAATCGAAACTAAAATCCGGTTGGCTAACAAACTTTAAAACTTTTCCAAACAGGTAAAAGCACTGGAGAGCTGTGACATGCCTGTGAGCACGTCCAGCACAGATATCTTGGCTAGAGCACAATGCCATAGAATGTACTACGTGCCTGTAAGCATGGCAGGTCTAACAGCTACAGAGGATAGGGCTCAACAAAGAGCTATTGGCACACTTATTCTTTAACAAAAAAGGAAACTTTAAAAAGGAACTTTTCTGCTTCCCACAGCAGGCCTGTGTAAGAACTTTTCTTCTTCCCACCCAGAGGGACGCTTTAACATGAATTTAGTGCCACAGAGACCTGGATTCAAACAGCAGCTCCTGCCGGGTGCGGTGGCTCACACCTGTAATCCCAGCACTTTGGGAGGCCAAGGCAGGTGGATCCTTGAGCTCAGGAGTTCAAGACGAGCCTGAGCAACATGGTAAAACCCTTTCTTTTTTTTTAATTGCATTTTAGGTTTTGGGATACATATGAAGAACATGCAAGATAGTTGCATAGGTACACACGTGGTGGTGTGATTTGCTGCCTTCCTCCCCTTCATCTATATCTGGCATTTCTCCCCGTGCTATCTCTCCCCAACTCCCCACCCCCACTGTCCCTCCCCATTCCCCCCAACAGACCTCAGTGTGTAGTGCTCCCCTCCCTGTGTCCATGTGTTCTCACTGTTCAACACCTACCTGCCTATGAGTGAGAACATGCGGTATTTCCTTTTCTGTTCTTGTGTCAGTTTGCTGAGAGTGATGGTCTCCAGGTTCATCCATGTCCCTACAAAGGACACAAACTCATCATTTTTGATTGCTGCATAATATTCCATGGTGTATATGTGCCACATTTTCCCAGTCCAGTCTATCATTGATGGGCATTTGGGTAGATTCCAGGTCTTTGCTATTGTAAACTGTACTGCAATGAACATTCCTGTGCATGTGTCATTATAGTAGAACGACTTATAGTCCTTTGGATATATACCCAGTAATGGGATTGCTGGGTCAAATGGAATTTCTATTTCTAGGTCCTTGAGGAATGGCCACACTGTCTTCCACAATGGTTGAACTAATTTACACTCCCACCAACAGTGTAGAAGTGTTCCTTTTTCTCCACATCCTCTCCAGCATCTGTTGTCTCCAGATTTTTTAATGATCGCCATTCTAACTGGCGTGAGATGGTATCTCAATGTAGTTTTGATTTGCATTTCTCTAATGACCAGTGATGATGAGCATTTTTTCATATGTTTGTTGGCCTCATGTATGTCTTCTTTTGTAAAGTGTCTGTTCATATCCTTTGCCCATTTTGAATGGGCTTGTTTTTTTCCTGTAAATCTGTTTTAGTTATTTGTAAATTCTGGATATCAGCCCTTTGTCAGATGGGAAGACTGCAAAAATTTTTTCCCATTCTGTTGGTTACTGATTCACTCTAATGACTGTTTCTTTTGCTGTGCAGAAGCTGTGGGGTTTGATTAGGTCCCATTTGTCTATTTTGGCTTTTGTTGCCAGTGCTTTTAGTGTTTTGGTCAAGAAGTCCTTGCCTACTCCTATGTCCTGAATGGTTTTGCCTAGATTTTCTTCTAGGGTTTTTATGGTGTTAGGTCTTATGGTTAAGTCTTTAATCCATCTGGAGTTAATTTTAGTGTAAGGCATCAGGAAGGGGTCCAGTTTCTGCTTTCTGCACATAGCTAGCCAGTTTTCCCAACACCATTTATTAAACAGGGAATCCTTTCCCCATTGCTTGTTTTTGTCAGGTTTGTCAAAGATCAGATGGTTGTAGATATGTTGTGTTGCCTCCGAGGCCTCTGTTCTGTTCCATTGGTCTATATCTCTGTTTTGGTACTAGTACCATGCTATTTTGATTACTGTAGCCTTGTAGTATGGTTTGAAGTCCAATAGTGTGATGCCTCCCACTGTGTTCTTTTTGCTTAGAATTGACTTGGCTATGCGGGCTCTCTTTTGGTCCCATATGAAGTTTAAGGTGGTTTTTTTCCAGTTCTGTGAAGAAGGTCATTGGTAGCTTGATGGGGGATAGCACTGAATTTGTAAAAAAATATGGAACACTTCACGAATTTCCATGTCATCTTTGCACAGGGGCCATGCTAATCTTCTCTGTATCGTTCCAACTTTAGTATATGTGCTGCTGAAGCAAGCACAAAACCCTTTCTTAACAAAATACAAAATAATAATAAAAAAATAGCCAGATACGATGGCATGCACCGATAGTCCCAGCTACTCAGGAGACTGAGGTGGGAGGATCACTTGAATCTGGGAGGTGGAGGTTGCAGCGAAACAAGATCAAGCCACGGTACTCCAACCTGGGTGACGGGGAGACATTGTCTCAAAAAAAAAAAAAAAGTAGCAACTCCATCAATACATGCTGTGTGACACCAGGCAATTCTGTTTACCTCTCTGAGCTTCATTTGGCAAATGAGGATAATAACATGGGAGTCACAAGGTCACTGTAGGGCTGAAAGAGCAATCCGGCAGAGGGAGGGCACTCACCTGATTGCTGCTGTTTCATGCGGAGACCTCCTCCTGCCACCTGCTTTCCTGCTGCTGAAATCCCACACACAGTTAGACCCCGGGTTGGAGGAAAAAAAACAGGAGATGAAAGGATAACGGCCTTCCTTTTTCAGATGTGGGGCAGCTTGTTCTTAAGGGAAAAAACAGCCCCCTCTGCAGCTGCACTTGGTTCTCCACCTCCACTCCATCCTCTCTTTGTGTTTGGGCTTCTGGGGAAACAACAAGATCCCACGGTGTTTCCTTCCAGGATCCCCCCTCCCTCCAGAAATTCCCCGATGGCTGCCAAGCTCAGTGGTAGGAAAAATGAGCAGTTTCCAGACAGAGGCCAGCACACTTCAGAGGCAAGGAGTGGAGGCCACGCCCCTCCTGACTGCCCCAGCCCCACTAACAGTGGTAGGAGTGTGGTAGGTCACTCCGGTGGGCCCACACTCCCAGTTGCACTTACCCCTCAAAATGCACAGAGGAGGACTGAGTGAGATGCTGGCAGAGGGCCTGGCTGAGGGGAGGGCGCAGAGAGTCATCCCCCAAACCCCTTGTCGCTGTGCCCCTGCCCCACATCCTGGGCAATTAGACTACTGTGCGGGGGAGGGGCATCAAAGGCGGAGGGAGGCAGGTACTGTGCACCCAGCTATACACCGGGGACTTGGAGACAGCGAACCTGAAGTTCAATAGGCATCCATTTAACGGTTCCCCAGGCGTGGTGCTAGGGATCAGGGCACAACAGGCTGCAAAATGGACCCTCACAGGGCACCAGGAGAAGGGGGGTATCCAAAGGGACACGTGGAGCCTATGCTGCCTTTGCCACCCTCCTTCTCCCTGCCCTCCTGCGCAGCCCCGCGTGCCTTGTATTCAAAGTCCCTGTGTGTTCTGCTCACTTGAAACTGACTCAGGTGAGGGGCTGTGCAAACAGCAAAGGCTGAACTGAGGATCGAAGTCCCTGCAGGAGAACCCGCCCCAGGAAAGGTAAGCCAGGTGTTAGGGCAGGGAGCTTGGCTACCACCGTGAGTGTGAGGAGTTGGGGACTGAGCAGAGCGGTGGACACGGGCAGCCCTCAGGAAGGGCCATCATCCTCCCTGCCCGGGCAAGCTCAAGGGCAGCCACAAACAGCAAACTCGAATTTTCCATCTTTCATTCCAGGAAGGGCGCTGTGAGGCTACAGTGGGGAGGGGCAGGGGACCTTGGACCAGGATCTCTGACTAAGCCTGAGTCAGGGCTGCCTTCCCCTGGTCCCCACCTGCCCTCACAGGCCACTGAGCCACCTCTCCTGGCTCAGCCTCTCCCACTGTTGCCCCCACCCTCAACTCCTTTAGTGACTTCCTCTCCCTTCATAAAGTCCAGCCTGGCCCCAGACAGTGCTCTGCACCCAACCCTTCCCACTGACTGGCTCCCATCCTCCCAGCCTATCCTTCTCCTGCCCCACTACCTCTCCATACTCCTGTTCCTCGGGTGCTCCCGATGGCCTCTAACTGTCCTTCAAACCCAGCCCAGTAGCAGGTGCTCCCAAAGGCTTCCTGCCACCCTTTCCCTTCCCTGGGTAGGTATAGAACCCCCTCACCCAGGCCTCCTCCACCCCAGACCTGCTTCCTCCCAAGAGGCCATGACTACATCTCGCATCTGTATTTTTCCGCCTGGCACAGAATAGGAAAGGGATGAGGATTTCACTGAGCACCTACCATGTGCGGGCCACTGTAATGAAGGTCATCGCAAGGAATCTTCACCACAAACTATGACATGGTATTGTCTCATTTTTACAGGTAAGGAAACTGAACCCTCAGGGGAAGAGATGATTTCAAAGAACTTCAGAGCAAAGAATCTTTGACTAGAGTGAAGTAGACCCCCGAAGCTTCCTGGGAGAGGTAGAGCTTGATTGAGTTGGGTTTAAAAAGCGATGAGGATTCTAAGGAACACAAAAGAGGGAGAGAGAGAGAGAGAGAGAGAGAGAGAGAAGTAGAGCATTCCAGGCAGCTGGGGACTGAGATAAAGGAAGGTTGGAAGGCAGAAAAGCCCAGGAAGTGATTGGCAAGACTAACTAGGCGGTTTAGCAGAGCATTTGAGGAATGCTTAGACAAATGGCCTGGCTGGGGCTGACTCACACCTGTAATCCCAGCATTTTGGGAGGCCAAGGCAGGAGGACTGCTTGAGCTCAGGAGTTTGAAACCAGCCTGGAAAACATAAGTAGACTCTATCTCTATTTAAGAAGGGAAGGGAAGGGGAGGGGAGAGGAGTGAGAGGGAGGGGGAGGAAAGGGGAGGGAGTTGGAGGGGAGGGAGGGGGAGAAGAGGGAGGCGAGGCAAGGAACTGCCCCTTTTACCAGGAGCAGAAAGCCTGGAATGGAACACCAAGCCTGCCAAAGACATGGGGTGTTTCTGAGCAGGCTAGGCAGTGTTCGGAAGGGCAAGACCTTGTGGACAACCTCCCTGTCAAAAACCCTTCCCAGGAACCTGATTGGCCAGCGCAAGAGACCCTATGACCTCAGGCTCCAGAGATGGCTCTGCAAAGCAAACCCACCATGACTACTGGTCAGTGACTCACTTCTCCCAGGAGCCCACCCCAGGGCTTAGCGCGCCTTCACTCGGCCTCCCTTAGCCCTTGCTCTGGTCTCTGTGGGCTGGGTTGAGTGTTCCAGTGAAGAAGTGTGTGGAACACACATGCCTGGTGCTCACTTTCCTGCCCACGTGTGCATGTACACACATATGTGGGGCCTATGTGTCTCTTTCTCTGAGACCCACTCGAGATCTGCATGCGACTCAGGCCCCTCCCGGACTGTTACAGCCAGATGCACCTCGGGCACCACCCATCATCCCAGGAAAACATGCCCCTGCTGAATTCAGAGAATGCTCCAGAACGATTCAGGAAATGAGGACCATTCATGAGCACAGTGACTGATGCAGAGCATCTGACTCGCATCCACTGCCAAACTAACCCGAAGGTAAGAGACAGAGGAAAACCCCAGATGACTGCAATTTGGGGACACCTCCAACTCATGCTCACTGCACTTGTTCCGAAATGATAAGAGGGGAGATTTGGCACATGCTCTGGCCTCACAGGCTCTCATCACCATTGTCTCTGCCCCTCAAGGGTATCTAAGCACCATTGCCTTCAGCCCCCTCACCCTTAGAACTGACTGCCATAGGGCTAATTGCTTAGTCTTCAAGTCAAGGGGGACTTATGGAGTGGGCAGAGCTGCCTAGAGAGCCCCTTGACCCAAGACACCCCAAATGTACTTGGGAGGAAAGGCAGGGCTGGGGGACGGAGGCACTGTGGGGGCTCTTTCTGTTTGGCAGGAGCTGCAGCCACACATGCTGTGGCCACAGCACACAGCATACATCTTCCATCTCACAGTGATTGAAGATTTTGCCAAACCACCGGTCAGACAGATTTCCCCCCGAGCCCCACACTAATTGGTTTTTGGATTCTGCAGTCCAAGCACAAGCTCCAAGCTCAGTGCTGAGCTCAAACTCCTGGATGTCCAAAGGGCTTAGATGTGGAGGCCATGACGCTGAAGCCAAAGCTATCAGACACCTGGGCCGTGCATGTCTCTGCAGTGAGCCTGGGAAAGCAGCTCTGGGGATTGCACCCTCGGTGCCAGGGCTGGGGAGCCTCTGGCTCAGGGAGGCCTTCAGGGACAGGTGCTCAGCCAGCTGCCTGGGTAGGTCCCTAATGAGCAGATGTGTTCCAGGCTCTCTGCCCAAGGGGCAGCTGCACCTGGGCTGGAGAGCTGAGACTCCCCATGGCTCTGTAGCCTCTGTCCCCCACAGCCTGGCCCGACAGCCCCTAGTCCTGTTAGAGGAGGGCACAGCTGCCTGCCACCCCTCCTTCCCCATCTCCGCCTCTCTAATCTTCCTTGTGGAAGATTCCATCGGAGATTTTAGTTACATTTTCTACACTATGCCTGGAACATAGTAGGTGTTCAATAAATGCAACTTTTCCTGAGTGATTGGTGAGGAAAAGCTGGACTGTGAAGCCTGGCCTGTGGCTTGCCAGCTGTCCCAGCCTCAGGGTCCTCACACGCAGATGTGAATACAGTAACAGAGCACTTCTCGCCTGCAACAGTGCCTGGTTCACACTTAATGCCAGTTAGGTGATCTGTATTATTATTTTATCTTAAGAGAGGAATCCAGCTGTGTTTAAATGAGAGTTTGGGATAAAATAAAAGCTAGAATCTAGCCTTGCAGGTGGGGACATGGAAACTGGGTCTCCACCCTGACCCCTGCTGCCCACCCTCTCACATGCCATCTAGAGACGGCACTCCTCATGTAACGCTGCAGGAGGTGCTCCACTGGCACGAAGGGGGTGGGCTCTTAGCACAGGCCCAAACAGTAGGTGACTTTTCACACTCCCATCTCCAAGCTGTGTGCAAAACACTGATCTTGACGGGTTAAAACCCAGCTTCCAGGGCCGGGCGTGGTGGGTCACACCTGTAATCCCAGCACTTTGGGAGGCTGAGGTGGGTGGATCACTTGAGGTCAGGAGTTCAAGACCAACCTGGCCAACATGGTGAAACCCCATCTCTACTAAAAATACAAAAATTAACTGGGCATGGTGGCAGGCATCTGTAGTCCCAGCTACTTGGGAGGCTGAGGCAGAAGAATCACTTGAACCCAGGCAGTGAAGGTTGCAGTGAGCCAAGATCATGCCATTGCACTTCAGCCTATGCAACAAGAGTGAAACTCTGTCTCAAAAAAAAAAAAAAAAAGAACCCAGCTTCCAGAACGCCTCTTTCTAATCCAAGAAAGAAAGAGAGCAGATTAGATGCCAAAGCATTGCCAGGGTTCATGGGAAGTCTGCAGAACCAGAACCAGTGGGTAAAGATCCAAGACAGCCAGACTGCTGTAACAGCACCCCTCTTTAAACAGGAGAGCGCCCCACCCCAGCATCAGCAATCCTGCACACGGCCAGTCCCACAGCAGCCCTGCTACTGGGTCCTGGCATCACCCCACTTTACAGCCAGAAGACAGAGGGCACAATGACCAGGCAGTTTGCCTAAGATCCTACAGCCAGTTGGCAGCAGAGGCGAGATTCCGCCCAGGGCTACCCTGCATAAAGTCCAGGCTTGAAATCACAACTCTACACTGCAAATCGAGAATCCACCCACATGGCACTAAGCCAGGAAGCAGCCCTGCCAGGGGACAGAGGGCAGGGCAAGAAAACTGAGGCCACTCAGTGGTGCGCCAAGGGCCGGGAGAAGGGGTTACCACTGTGCCCTTCGCTGGCCTTGCTCAGGGTATCAGGTTTCAGTGACACCAACACCTGCTGTGGGTGCCTGGAAGTCAGACTCTCTGCCAGTGCCCACCACTCCTGTCCTCACCATGTTCAGGTGGAAGGACAAAGGAAAGAAACAAACCTGGGATCACTGCCGGGTTCCTACATGAGAGATGAGGACAGAACGGCGGCTACGGCGGAGCCTGCTCACGGAAATACAGAAAGTATTACATTTTATATTCTATTTATGTAAACATGTTTCTATATTTATGAAACTAGATAACTCATATAAATACATTTATGTATGTGTATAAACTATATATTTATATATGTAATGTAAATATGTAATTTATATAAGGTAAATATGTAACTTATATACATACATTTATAGAAATATATAATTTATATAATGTGAATATGTAACTTACATAAATATATAATGTAAATACATTTATAGTTATATATACTTACACAAATTATATAAGTGTTTATAAATTTTTATATAAATACATATTTATATAAGTTGTAGGTTCACATAAATATATAATTTTACATAATTATAACCACCATATAAATTAAAAAATAAAATGCTGCCATACACCAGGAATCCCCTTCATGTGTCCCCACTCATAATCCCTCAATGTCCTCCAAAAGATAACCACAATCATGACTTTATGTAAATCACTTATTTGCTTTGTTTTGTGGCTTTACCACCTACGTGTACATCAACAATTTTATATATATATATATACACACACATATATATATACACACACACATATATATACACACACATATATATATATACACACACACATACAAAAAAAAAACCTTTGGTGTTGTTCACATAAAAACTTGAATTCCAATGCTGACCCAGGCCACAATAAAGGGAGAAAAAACAGCAATTCGGGAGTTGAGGGGAAGCCACCCCATCACCTCCTGCCAGCCAGGCCACTCCCCTCACCCAGATTGCCACCCCTGATGGCTGTGATCTGTGAGTACCCAGGTTTGCGGGGGTGCTGGTGAACTGCCCGCCTGGCACCCTATCCAACAGCTACTGTCTGGCACTGCCTAAATCATCCCATCAAAAAGCGGTTCTGATCCTCACCTCTCTGTTGACCCAGGGGCAATACATTTTTTTAGTGGCTAGAAGTTGGTTATTTACTGCTATGGTTGGAAGGGTTGTGTCTTCTCAAAAGTGAAGTGTTGAAATCCTAACCTCCCGGTGACGGTGTGAGAAGGTGGGGTCTTGGCAAGTGGGCAGATCATAAGGGCTCCACTCTCATGAAAGGGACAAGTGCCTTTATAAAAGAGGTGCGAAGAGCTCTCTTGCCCCTTCTGTCAAGGGAGGTTGCAATGAGAAGATACCATCCACAAACCAGAAGGCGGGTCCCTACCAGATGTGAAATCTGCCGGCACCTGAATCTTGGACTTCCAGCCTCCAAAACTGTTGATAAATAAATGTTTGCTGTTTAAGCCACCAGTTTGTGGTATTTTGTTATGGCAGCCTGACTTGACCAGGATATTTAGAAAATAATTATTTAAAAAAGAACTTTTCTTTTCTTTTCTTTTTTTTCCTTTTTTTTTTTTTTTTTTTTTTTTGAGATGGAGTCTCTCTCTGTCACCCAGGCTGGAGTGATGTGGTGCAATCTCAGCTCACTGCAACCTCCGCCTCCTAGGTTCAAGCAGTTCTCCTGCCTCAGTCTCCGAGTAGCTGGGATTACAGGCACACGCCACCACACTTGGCTAATTTTTATATTTTTAGTAGAGATGGGGTTTCACCATGTTGGCCAGGCTGGTCTCAAACTCCTGACTTCAGGTGATTAGCTTGCCTCGGCCTCCCAACATGCTGGGATTATTGGTATGAACCACTGCGCCAGGATCTTGCTGAGGTTTTGAAAGCACCCCCTTAGAAACCATCAGGGAGAACCTCTTCCTTCAATCCCCTGCTCTGTAAGAGCACCGAGTTCAAGAGATGACCTGTCTTCATGGGGGAAATTGAGTAACCCTGGATCTGCAATAGGAATTTACTACATAAACAGCAATTCACCACCCTAAATACCACCCAGACAAAGCGGGGAAATTTATGGCTATTTGGGGCAATCTGGAAAGAACCTCAGTGACAGTGAATGATTTTTATGTTCTTTTTTTTTTTTTTTTTGAGATGGAGTGTCGCTCTTGTTACCCAGGCTGGAGTGCAATGGCGCGATCTCGGCTCACCACAGCCTCCGCCTTCTGGGTTCAGGCAATTCTCCTGCCTCAGCCTCCTGAGTAGCTGGGATTACAGGCACGTGCCACCATGCCCAGCTAGTTTTTTGTATTTTTAGTAGAGACAGGGTTTCACCATGTTGCCCAGGATGGTCTCGATCTCTTGACCTCGTGATCCACCCGCCTCAGCCTCCCACAGTGCTGGGATTACAGGTGTGAGCCACCACGCCTGGCCTGATTTTTATGTTCTTAAGAGAGAAAAAAAATCTAAGACCAGCAGGAACTCCAAGGGGTTTCATTTTCTTTTTAGGTGGAAGCAGCCACATGAGAAGGGATTGCTTATCAAGATTTCAATCGTGTAACAGATCTCCAGCCTCGGAGGCGTATTTTCAGTTTCGATTCAGATGATAAGTGGGGAGAAAGCACCCCAGGTCTTGAAGTTAGCTTTTTCCCTCTTCACAGACAACCTCCAAAGCAGGGCAGCAGGCAGCTGCTAGAGATTTCTCCACTGAGTTGTCTCCGCTTGCGGCTTCCTTTCATGAGTGGGGACCAGGAGAAACCCCGTCTCTGATGAAGGTGGAGGATGAACAACGAACCAGACCCACGCTGCTCAGCACATCTGATGGGGCCAGAAACACAGGCTGCAAAGGCTGAGAAAGCCTCTCAGGGGTCATCTGGTTGGACAGGTGTGAAGACCTGGCTGCACTTGGAATCATCTGGGAAGACTTACAAATATGGATTCTCAGTCTCACCCCCAAGGATTCTGACTTGGTGAGTCTGGGATGAGGCCTGGGAATCTGCCCCTGTGTAGCCAGCAGCGCTCCACTTGGACCTGCATCTGGGGACCCCTGGGACACCCTGGCCCCCTTAATTAATAAGCAGAACTAGCCCCAGGGTAGAGAATGAATTCGGTGCTTGTCACCTCGTTACATAATTTAAGGTGTCCCTAGTTATGCCCAGCTGACTCGAGCACAGACCTCCCAGTCATTCTCCTCTCCAGAAGCACAGGGTCGGGCATGGGAGGGGAGTACACATCCATGCGGGCATCTATTGAATGTGCCAGGCCTGTATCTCTATTATCTCGCCTCTATCCTGTGAAGTAGACTTTATTATCCCCATTTTACAGATGAGAAAACAGCCTCAGAGAGGCTGAGTCATTTGGTCAAGGACACAGAGTTGCTGAAATGACAAGGCTAGCTTTGAACCCAGGTGGTCCCTCCTTTGGCCCATGTTTAACTACAGCAGGGCGCCCTCTGGGTAGTGGTCTCCTTGGGGTTCCGTTGCAGCCTGGAGCACAAGCTTCTCTCCTGATCGTTGCCAGATAGCTTATTTCCAATGCTTTTTTTCTGGTTTTTAGTCGACTTTTCGTTGTATTCAGCCCAGTGACCTCTGGTCCTCTCTTCTGCTCTTTCAGGGTTATTCAGTGTTTTGTGTTTGTGCACCTTGACTGCACAGAACAGGGGCCACAGGGGACAGGGGCCGCAGAGCATTGCTTCCCTCCCCGGGGCCTGGTACCTAGCAAGCACTAGCAGGCAGTCTGGCCATAGCAGCTGAGTGATGAGTGAACCGCTTGGAGGCTGCACGTGGGCCCAGGCTCTTTTAGGTCTATCTTCCCTAGAGGCAGCTGTGAAAACACACAAAGCAGCACCCTGAGGCAGCAATGGGTCCAGCATGGGAGTCTGAGGAGCTGAAAGAAGCTGAGGTGGCCACAAGAGCCCAGTGGGCAGTGAGGTGAAGCTAGGGAGATGGGCCAAGGCGGGTCAGCCAGGGCCATAAAGCGGATGGATTTTTGTCCTGAGAAAGCCAGCTTTGACAGGGAAGGGCCATGCTCCTGCGGCCCCTGGGTTACCAGGCTGTGCTGCCTCCTGTACTGCTAGCTGCCCCTTCAATCAGGAGCCCCACACTGTTCACGGGGTAACTCCAGGCCCTGGCTTGCAGTGGCATTTATTGTTTTGCTGCCTTGCAGCAAAAAAATGAAGCATGAAAGGCAACCCAGAGTGAAATCAGATTACAGTTTTACAATGTCTGTGACTCAGGAAACACATCCTTTGTCCCCTTAGAATTTATGACAAAGCCAGGTGAGAGCTGGGTTGAAAATGACCTTTGTCCAAGAAAAAAAGGTTTTGCTGAGCAAATTAAGAGTGCGGATGAGACTGGGGGAAAAGCTTAAATTGTACATGAAAACTGTTTAAAACATTTTAGGAATGTCAGCTTAGTACAACTGACACCTGGATTGCCTAATTCCATAATTCAGGAAGCTCCCCACTCACCTCCACAAAAAATTAGTTTGAATTGATTATATTTAATTATATTTGAATGCCTGAAACTGAACGATCCCAATGCCCACTGCGTTGTTCATAACATTTGAAGCATGTGGTCTGACTCCAGAAAGCCCCTACCTCGGCATGTTCACGCTCACAAACATGTCGAAACTGGCCCTATTTTTAGTCGACCTTTAAGATTATACAGCCTTATACCTGAGTCTACCTTTGATTTCAGCCTCTTTAATTTGAATCCTTCAACCCTGTGGAGTTTTCTAAATAAGCTCTGCCAGCTGCTATCAATACAGGCAGACTCACACCCCAACTTGGGTGGCACTGACTCCATTTCCTCAAAGATAACACAGAAAACAGAAAAAATAAAATTAAAAAAAAGGCCGGTGTGGTGGCTTACACCTGTAATTCCAACACTTTGGGAGGCCGAAGCTGGCAGATAACCTGAGGTCAGGAGTTTGAGACCAACGCGGCCAAGATGGTGAAACCCTGTCTCTACTGAAAATACAGAAATTAGCTGGACATAGTGGTGCATCTGTAGTCCCAGCTACTCAGGAGGCTGAGGCAGGAGAATCATTTGAACTCAGGAGTGTGGGTAATCCCCCACATAGGCACCGAGGAATGAGAGCTAAGCAGAACCCTGGCACAGTTAGGGCTTGAGGAATATCTCACTTTACAGTGTTACTACTCAGCTATTTCCTTTTATATAACCCTTTACATAATCATTTATTAGTTTATAGAAATATGGCTTGACGAATCCCTTTATATAATCCTCTATATATAATCATATAATAGTTGATAGTATGAGTGCCTAAAGAATATTTCCCTACATATATACCTATATCTTAGTTCATAATCGGAGGAATGCCTAGAGTGGACACAGTACAGAGCATGAATTAAGGAATAAGCAGCTTATAATCGGAGGAATGCCTAGAGCAGACACAGTGCAGAGCATGATTTAAGGGAAAAACAGTTATGCCAGGACAAGAATCCATGGCCCACGCGGCAGCGTTCAGTATCATAAAGATACCCGCTGTATGGCAGGCTTGGGGCGAGAGCCACTCCTCCTGATAAAGGAATTGTAGGACCTTGCTCCAGTTCTTGTGGAAGGCTGCCCTCAGAACGCCAATCCACCTTGGTGACTGTGAACTTTATCAGCTCTTGCTACTGTGCTGCTTGAACAGCATCTTCCCGTAGAACCCATTGGAAGCTGCCAGAAGATGGCAGTAACCCTGACAGCTCTGTCACTGCTATGTGACTTAGAGCATCCTCCTATAAATCTTTCTAGAAGTAGTTTGACCATAGATAGAAGTATTGCACACTGCACAAGGCCCACCTTCAAACCTCGGTGACCTAATGGGGGTGGACCCCTTACTGCGCACGGCCCTTGCCTTCGTGGGAATGGGCCCCTTGCTGTGCACTGTCCACCTCCTGGCCTGGGTGACCTAATGGGGGTAGACCCCATGTTTTATTGCTCAAACCCTATCACTATCCTTAAAGATGATTTCACTCACTGCCCTTCCCCCTAACCTATACACAATAAATACTCATGCTTCTGGACATTCGGGGCCTCGCCTGACTCTGCTTATAGGTGGCGTGGCCCCCGAGCCCAGCTGTGTTTTTCTTGTACTTCTGTGTCCTGTCTCTTTATTTCTTCGATCCTGCACCTCAGTACAGCATAAGGCTCACCCCACGACCCTGTGGGGCCCTCAGCCCTACAAGGAAGTGGAGGTTGCAGTGAGCCAAGATTGGGCCACTGCACTCCAGCCTGGGTGACAGAGTGAGACTTCATCTCCAAAAAAAAGAGAGAGAGAGAAAAGAAATCAACCTCTAAAGACACTAGGCTTTATGTATCAAGGGTCTTTAGCATACAGTAGTCCCCGCTTATCCATAGGGGATCTGTTCCAAGACCCCCAGTAGATGCCTGAAGCCACAGATAGTACCAAACCCTGTATACACTATGTATATACCTGAGCATACAGGCCTGCCATAGAGTTTAATTTGTTAATTAGGTACAGTACTCTTGTGCTTTGGAGCCATTATGTCAAACAAGGGTGACCTGAACAGAAACACAGCAATGTGGTGACAGCTGATGGGCACCTTCAGCCTAAGTGACTGAAGGGCAGGGAGCAGGCCCGGTGTGGGGATGATGGACAAAGAAAGGGGTCACGTCCCAGGCGAGATGGAGAGAGACTGTGTCACGCTACTCAGAATGGAGTACCATTTAAAATTGATGAGTTATTTCTGGAATTTTCTATTTAATATTTTCAAACCTCGGTGTATTGCAGGTAAATGAAAACTCAAAAAGCAAAACCGCAGATAAGGGAGGAACTACTGTATTCCGTCCTTCACCATGGCAAGCCTATTTCTGAGAATCTACCCTGAAAAACAATGTGGATGCAAAGAAGCCATGTGTGAGAAAGAGCACAGTCTCTTCATTTCATAAAAGAATGGAAGTAACAGGGCCGGGCGTAGTGCCTCATTCCTGTAATTCTAGCCCTTTGGAAGGCCGAGGCGGGCAGATCACAAGGTCAGGAGTTTGAGACCAGCCTGGCCAATATGGTGAAACCCCATTTCTACTAAAAATACAAAAATTAGCTGGGTGCAGTGGTGAGTGCCTGTAATCCCAGCTACTCAGGAGGCTGAGGCAGGAGAATTGCTTGAACCTGGGAGGCAGAGATTGCAGTGAGCGGAGATTGCACCACTGCACTCCACACTGGGCCATAGAGCAAGACTCCATCCCCCTGCCCCCAAAAAAAGAATGGAAATAAATACACAACAAGAGAATGGGTGAGTAAAGTATTGGACTTCCCTTAATGTAACATCGTGGGGCCACTGAAAAGATGCTCGTAAGTGTTTCTATCTATGGCATTTCAGCACATTTAAGACACTTGATTAGAAAACACACCACTATTTCACATACCTTTAAGGAAGAAAACACCCAGAATGGGTTATCTAATAAAGGCCATCTAAGTACAGTTGGGATCCTAAAGGTGTATTTCTTTCTTTGGTGTGAGGGGAATGATAAGCAACCTTGTCAGGCAGAAAGAGCCTGTGAGGAAATTTCCATGTCCCAACCACAGACCCGGATGCAGGCAGGGAACAGAACCGCCCCCGAGGACGTGCACAAGCCAGTACTCACGCTGGTTTGAGTCTGAATTTGCACTAAGATATGATCTAGAAATACCCCAAGTAAATGCTGTAATTGAATTTCAGTTTAATTTCAGGTTATCTCAAGTTGGCAGCGCCCCAGGTGATTGGCAGAACGAATACAGCCTCCTCTGGGAAGAGCCGAATTTTAACACTGGCTGACAGTGCCTGTAAAACATCAGCCACTGTAGCATGCAAGATCCAGAGATGTTACAATGTGAAATAAGTGAATCTTAGAATTAACCTGAAGCAAAAAAAGCAGAATAAAATGGTATGTGGATGATGACAGGACATCTTTGCAGAGCAGACCAATTGGAAGGAAAAACACAGTAAAATGTTCCCCGTGATTTTCTGCAGGTGGTAAGACTACAGCATTTTCTTTCTTTAAACGAGTCTGTATTTTCCAACTTTTTCTAAAGTGAACATCGAAGAAAAGGAGAAATAAAACAAGGTGAAGCAAGTGAGAGGAGAGTGACTTTAGGTGGGGCAGTCAGGGAGGTGACCCCTGAACTGGGAAGGGACCAGCACAGGAGAAACCACCTTTAGAGTTCACTGCTACATCTGTATCCAGGATAGGGCCTGGGTCACAGGGAAGATGCTTGATACATATTTGCTAAATTAATACATGGGTTAAGGAAGGAAAAAGCTGCTAAAACAGGAGCCTAGGTCTTAAGAGGTCCCAGCAGATTCTGGCTCTTCAGGGAGCCATTCTCACTGGACTGAGCCGTTAAACAGGGCCAGGCCAACAGCAGGGCCCTGTGGAAAGCCTGCAGCTGTGGGGTTAGAGGACCACGGTTGTGGTCTTGGGCCTGTTTCCCCATCTGTCAAAGGAGGTTAGTGCTGTGCCACCTCAGCCGCCAAAGTGAGCTCCACATGATACAGTGCTTTGAAATATTAAGCCACGTGCGAGCCTGAAGGGCTGTCATGCTCCAGGAGGTCCTTGTGTGAGCCCAGCAGCAGCTCCCTGTAACACTGGGACCTGTGAGCTTCACACAAGCTGCTTTGTCTCAGGAGGGTACCTGTGCTCTGCGGCTCAGCACACGGGAGATACCACATCAGCTCCTGCCCTCCTGCCTGCATACACTTTCCAGATTCCATTACTGTGTATGGGCCTGTGCTGGAACCTGCTAACACAGAGATAAGAGTTGGGTCCCTGTCCTTGAGAAAGTCATAGGGAGCCCAGAGAGCCAGATGAGCAAACAGGATGATACCCGAGGGAGGGGACGCCCAATCTGCTGCTGAGAGGCAGTTAACTGCAGCCACCATTGGGGAATAATAATGGAGGCACTGTAGGTTTTCACACATTGTCTCCTTTTGCCTTCATAGTTTTGGGAGGTTAGCTCCATTTCAGAGATCGGGGCTGGAAGCTGTCATCTGTCAAGGTCACAGAGCCTGGACTCGCACCTGGGCCGGGGTGACTCGCTGGCAGTGGGGAAGGCAGGGAGACAGGAGGAGGCTATTGTAGAGGTGACAGCATGCTCTTCATTGAGAGACAGGGGCTAAGGGTAATGGTGGGCAATGAGGCTGGCACAAGGCCAGGTGGCCTGTGGCTTCTTTGTGAAGGAGCTGATGTGAGCAAATCCACAAATCTGCCTGAAAAGGGAAAACTTCCCTGGGCTTTCTGCGCAGGTCATCCCCCTGCTCCAAGCCAGCCCCTCAGAGAACATTCAGCAAAGGCACCCATGTCCTGCAGCAAGACGGCTGCAGGGGAAACCTGACTCCCGCCAGCTTCCAGCTGCTCTGACCGGCAGTGTGCCCAGGTGTCACTGTCACCCTGGTCTGCTGTGGAGGGTGCCTTGCTCTCCCTGGAGACCCAGCTCAGCTCTTGCTGAGCAGTGGCCGTTTTGTGGGGCAGGAAGAGCCAAGCTGGGTCTGGCTGCTGACACTGAAAAGAATTCTAAGGAACTTTCAGATGTAATTATGGTTACTAACAGGCTGACCTTAAAATAGAGAGGTGATCCCAGGTTAGCTGAGTAACCCAAAATAATCACAGGAACTCTTAAAAGAAGGAAGGCAGAAGAGAGACTCCAGGCATAAGGACTCAACCCACTACAGGTGGCTTTAAAGGGAGCCACAGGTTGGGAAATATGGGGGGTTGAGAATGAACCCTGAGGCCCACAGTGGGCAAGGAACAGTGACCTCAGTCCAGGCTACCAGCATAGGCTGCTTTTCCCCAATCGGGGTGTGCAGGGGCATGTGGCCCCAGAGGGTAAAAGATGGGGAAGTCCAGGGATGTGTCCCCACCCCAGAGTCTCTCCCGTTTGGCATCCTCAGGGGATGCCAACAACTTGACGGACAGATGCCGTCTTGCCAACACAGAACTTGAAGGCACGTTCACTGCTGGAGTGTTCACAGCCAGACCTCAGCCTTGCAACTCAGGCGGAGCACCAGCTAGGCGTGTGATGCTGACTTCTGACTCTCGGGACGTGGGGGTTAGTAACTGGGTGCTGCTTTAAACTGCTGTATCTGTGGCAATTGGTTAACAAGGTAGTTGGAAATGACTCATCAATGAGCTATCTGAAAAAAGGTCACCTGGGCCGGAGAGTGGAGGGAACAGGGCTTAGAATGCTGGCCATGAAAGGACACTGGTCCTGCTGTCAGCTTCACACTGCCCACAGGAGCATCTCCTCTGGGACAGGAGCATCGCAGTCATGAGTAGTGTTGAATGCATTCCTTCACTCAATCATTCAGCCAACGTTTCTCAAACATTTGCTAAGACATAAGTGCTAGTTGGGTGTCTGGAGCTCAAATCTCATGAAAGGACAGAAGGCCAAACAAACGACACCCAGTGAAATGAGTCCCAGGATAGGAAAAGGCCCCCAGCGCTACCCCACCTCTGGCACCCAGATGCAGTGGGAGGTCAGAGAAGGGTCACTGGTCCGCCAGGGGTCAAGAAGGTTTCTCAGGGCTTGAAGCCCTGTCCTGGGTTTTGGTGCCCAGGAAGGAGAGAGAGGCCATGTTGGATGCCCACACTCAGGGGGTAGCAGCATACTGGCTGGGCTGGCACATGGACCATAAGGGTCTTGGCCACCAGGTGTGCCAGGCAGCTCAGGAGGGCCTCACAGTTCAGGCAGGAAAGTTGGGACTGAGGATGCCAAGCAGGAAAGAGACTCTGGGGAGGGGACACATCCCAGGACTTCCCCATCCTTTAGGACAGGGACCTTCAAACCATGTCAGCCTCTACCCTCTGGGGCCACATGCCCCTACACACCCTGACTGAGGAAAAGCAGCCTATGCTGGTGGCCTGGAGCACTGCACCCACACACACCGTCTGTAAGTGAATGAATTTACGCTGTGGTTTGTATACCAGCCTCGGAGACTGTTGTGCCACCAGCACCTGGCACATAGCAAACAATCCATATTAGTTTTACAGGCAAATAAAAGACAAAGGCAGGTCCGTGAGAGGCTGACCACATCACGGAAAACAGTGAAAGGTGGGTGTCTGATGCTCAGGACGGGATGGGGGAAGAGGTCAAGGCTGCAGGCCAAAGGAAGCCAGTTGGGGACAGAGGGCAGACAGTATCCCTCACCCTGTGGCACAAGCCTGGAAGCTGGCTCTGCCCTCCCTTCGGAGCTGGGCAGCAGAGGCACCACTGCACCATGACAGGACACTTTCATAGCCTCTTCTTGGAGGACTGCACCTGTCCTGAATGAGGAGTTCAAGGCAGGAAAATGCACTCTCAGCTCCATCTTTGCCACAAAGGTGGCAGCAGGGGCCCTGAGTTCATCTGGCAACGCAGGAGACTGAGGACTTCTGACTGTTTTGCAGGGTCCAGAGAACCTGATTGCCACCAGCTCCCCAAGGGGTGGGGGCGCTTCTGGCAGGCCCCTCCCCTCCACGAGCTCTACTTTCCTAGTGTGGTCACATTAATCACTTGCACATCACTAAAGGCAAAGTGCAAAGTTCCATGTTATCAATTCATCTAATCCTCAAAACAATCCTATGTGCTTTTCCTAGCCCATTTCACAGATGACGAAGTTGGACTGGTGAGGGGGTTTTCCACTTTTACAAATTTGCAGTTGACAAATCCTTCTTGGAAGAAAAAAGTACAGAAAAGACCAATGTGGAAAACAGACAGATTGGAGCAACTCTGGTTAGGGGAGGAGTTGAGGGAGATAAGGCTAGAGCCCCACTTAGCTAAGGCTCTCCCCACAGGGCTCGTAGAGGCTCTCCAGAAACAAGAGGCTCTGGAGACACGTCTATGAAGTCAGCCTTCAGGGCTGAGCCTGAGGACTGGTGAAGCTCACTCAGCTGGACTCCCTTCCCCAGGGCCACAGATGCCTGGGGCTTAAGTGAAGTTGTGGAGAGAGCCTTGGGGGCTGGGACTGTCCGCCCCACACCCTGAACACCCTGCTCATGCGCCAGGGGTTCCGGACGGCCACTCGGTGGAGACCCTAACAGGTCCTCTGACGGCCTGTCAGGACCTGTGTGACACCATTCCACATCAGGAAATAGGACTAGGAGAGACTGGTGAGGGCAGGAAGGAAGGCAGCCAGGGCTCTGCTGAGCAAGGGGACAGCAGGGAAAACAGGTAGAAATCCTCCAGGGTCTGCCCAGCTGGCCAGAGGGTGAAATGGGTGCTCCAAATCACAGACTCGCTACAGCATTGCTGGCTCTTAGAGATCGCCCAGGCCTGTCCCCCAACTTTACAGACCCGGAAACTGAGGCCCAGAGAGAAAGGTGAATTTGCCTAGGTTTCTCAGCTGATGGGTGGCAGGGACTGGATAAGAACCCAGATTTCTTGACCTCTCGTCCAGTACCCCTTTCCCAACATTGTTCTGCGAGAATAACACGGAGACAGGGCCAAATAAGTCAAAATGAGGACCAGACACTTAAAGGTAGGAGTCCTGTATCTGCGACGCGATTCTCTGCTATCCTGCCGGGTGACCTGGGGCAGGAAGCAAACCCCAAACAGAGTCTGGATCCAGTTTCCTCCCTGCTCAGACGTCCAGGGGCCCAAGTGGGGTCTAACACCCTCCCCAGCACCCTCCACTTTGGAGAGGGACAGGCACAAGAGCGCCGCTGCCGCCTGGGCTCTGCACAGCCACTTCGCAAGCAGCCCGAGAAATGTCCGTTGCTCCGCCAGGCGGAGTTCTGCCCCGCGAGTCTTCATCCCAAGCAAGGCCCCGGGTGCACTGAGTCCACGCGCGGGCCTTTTGTTTTGAGCCAGGGACACACGCGCCGCCGCCCCGCGCCGGCCCGCACAGGTCTGCGGCGCCAGCATCCGTACAGTTACCGGCATCCGCTCCCTCGCTCGCAAACTCCCCCAGTCGCCCGGCCACCCGCCTCTGCTCCCACGCGCACCGCTCCCCACGCCGCGCGTGGGTCGCTGCAGCCTCACAGCTGGCGCCCTAGCACCAGGCGGGTTCTCGGGGAGCCGCAGCTTGCGCGGGGAGGGGAGGATCCCCGCAAAGTGGGGTGGGGTGCTCCGCGCCAGGCCCCGCCCTCCCCGCAGGGCCCCGCCCCGCCCGGCCAGGAGGATGTGAGCTCACTCCCGCCTCCATGTTCCCGGAGTCGCCTGGAAGCGTCCGTCCGAGGTCGCGGGCCGCCTGGGGAGTCCGCAGCGCGCCAGGCCCCTCCGGGCGCCGCACGCAGTAGGTGCCATCCTAATGAGTTCGGAATGAAGGTGGGCAGCAGCGGGACCGAGGCACCCCGCCGGTAGACGCCGCGCCCCCCGGGCCCGCGCACGCCGTACCGCAGCGCGCTTCCGGCTGGGCCACGTGACCGCGCGCGCACGTGTTCCGGCCTCTCCGCGTCGCCGCTGCGAGCCTCCTCTTGGTTGCCCTGGCATTGGTGCGCCTGGAGCCGGCGTGGGCCGGGCCCGGGAGGCGGCGGCCCGGGGAGCCGCGGAGACGCGGGCGCCGAGCGTCACGGGGTAACAGGCCCGGGCCGGTGGGTGGCAGCCTCCGACATGAACCCCCGGGGCCTGTTCCAGGACTTCAATCCCAGTAAATTCCTCATCTACTCCTGCCTGCTGCTCTTCTCAGTGCTGCTGCCCCTTCGCCTGGACGGCATCATCCATTGGAGCTACTGGGCCGTCTTCACCCCCATATGGCTGTGGAAGCTTCTGGTCATCGCGGGCGCCTCGGTAGGCGCGGGCGTTTGGGCCCGCAACCCTCGCTACCGCACCGAGGGGGAGGCCTGCGTGGAGTTCAAAGCCATGCTGATCGCTGTGGGCATCCACCTGCTCCTGCTTATGTTTGAAGTCCTGGTCTGCGACAGGGTGGAGAGGGGCACCCACTTCTGGCTGCTGGTCTTCATGCCTCTCTTCTTCGTGTCCCCCGTGTCCGTGGCTGCCTGCGTCTGGGGCTTTCGACACGATAGATCGCTGGAGCTGGAGATCCTGTGCTCTGTCAACATCCTGCAGTTCATCTTCATCGCCCTACGGCTGGACAGAATTATTCACTGGCCGTGGCTGGTGGTGTTTGTGCCTCTGTGGATTCTCATGTCGTTCCTTTGCCTGGTCGTCCTCTATTACATCGTCTGGTCCCTCCTGTTCCTGCGGTCCCTGGATGTGGTTGCCGAGCAGCGAAGAACACACGTGACCATGGCCATCAGCTGGATAACGATTGTCGTGCCCCTGCTCACTTTTGAGGTCCTTCTGGTTCACAGATTGGATGGCCACAATACATTCTCCTTCATCTCCATATTTGTCCCCCTTTGGCTTTCCTTACTAACTTTAATGGCCACAACATTTAGGCGAAAGGGTGGCAATCATTGGTGGTTTGGCATTCGCAGAGACTTCTGTCAGTTTCTGCTTGAAATTTTCCCATTTTTAAGAGAATATGGGAACATTTCATATGATCTCCATCATGAAGATAGTGAAGATGCTGAAGAGACATCCGTTCCTGAAGCTCCGAAAATTGCTCCAATATTTGGAAAGAAGGCCAGGGTAGTTATAACCCAGAGCCCTGGGAAATATGTTCCCCCACCTCCCAAGTTAAATATTGATATGCCAGATTAAAACTCCCAGAGAGGACCCAAGCACACATAGACTCCACCTTGCCTTTGCCTCTTGTTCATTCATCCCAAACCTGGAAATGGAAGCAGACTCCAAACACGGTTGTCTCACGCCCTGTTTGAGGTCGCTGCCTCATCAGTAGGCATCCTAGATGGAGTGATTTCCATATGTGGGTGTATGTGGTGTGTACCCGGGTAAGAGAACTTGCTTTCCAGGTTTGCACTTTCAGATGTAGCTGGGGGCAGTCAGCTGAATTGTTTTAGTAGGTCCTCAAAAGGAGTAACTACACAAAGTCTCTTTTTTAAGTGCTACTGTACCTATCAAAAATATTGTTAAAAAGTATTTTTGTACACTGCTAATCTAAAATTGTATTTCAGATTGTGCCTGTTATGACGTAATAGCAAATGTAAAGAATTCTCTTTCCCACCACTTGTATAAACCTCATAGTCGTTATTTTTAGTGTTCTTCCTGTTAAAATACTTTCTCCTTGGGCTTTGCTGATACTGGTCTTTGATATTCTGATAGATGAATTTTTCGAATGGAATGAATCCATGCGTATATAGTATTTATGTGAACATTTTAGCAGTGTAATATGTTGAATTCTAGTTCTCTGCAGTACGGTGTATTATGTTGAATTCTGGTTCTCTGCAATACAACGTATTATGTTAAAGTATATTTTAAAGCTTACATGTGAAGATACATGTCTATTGCAGATGTCCTTGAAGACTGCATAAAACAATATGTGCCTGGTGTGGCTTTTACCAAAGTACTAGGCACGAATATAGAGACTGCAAATCCCGTGGGTCTTAACATTTAGGTGTTAGTAACCGAGGTCTGTGCTGTATAAAGGTCTCTGGTAGTACCCGTTAGTAGAGGAAGAAGCCACTGCCCTTGGGAACTTGTGACATGCTCCAGTGTGGTACCAGGCCATAAAGTGACACGGTTGCTTAGCACCTTGAATTTTTCCACACAGGTAGTAACTGTGTGGAAATAAGCAACAAGTGGTTTGTCCATTTCTAAGCATCTTAGACTTACTAGTTGGCTGTACTGTAACGCATTACTTGTCATTGGAAGGCTGGAGAGAGTGGCCTTACCCAGAAGTGCCAACAGAAGTAGGTATCATTTTAAGGTCCAAACTTTTTCATCTGTCAGCAATAGGGAAACAACAGTTCCAGTTCTCTTTGTGGAGAAGTACAGTGTTTCTTTAGGTGCTCGTAGCACACCAGGGAATCGGCAGAAGCTGGATCCCGCAGAGTTGTATTCGTCTGACTAAGAACAAATAAATACTTTCGAAAGGAGGTTAAAACAGAAAGGAGTGTTGATGTTATTACTGTGGAGAAGACGGGATGGAGTCCACTTATTAGTCATTTACTAAAAATGATCTAAACTGCATTCCACACTCTGCCCTGGCCATGAGGCAAACTTGTTGGGTTTGGAGAAAAATAAAAACATAATCCTAAATTCACTATATTTGCTGTATATAAAACATTAAAATAACATGCTCTGTACACATGCTCTCAACAAGAGCCTGTGCTAGGAAGCTGAGTGCCAGAATGCCCGAGGGAGCCACAGCTCAGCTTAGTCGGCTGGGACAGAGCTTGCAGTCTCTGTCTCTCTGACACTGGCAGTTTACACCAGCCAGCAGCCCTGAGAGCAGTGGATGTAACTTTTTATAAAGAAGGATTCATTCATTCATTTTCTCAATATTTCTTTAAGACCTACCCTGAGCCAAGCATGGTGCATCCTGTGGAGATGTAGTGGAGAGCAAACAGGGAAGTGTCCTGTATAGTGAGAAGTGTGAGCTGTGCCCGCAGAGGGAAAGAGTCCAGAGCAGCCTGTACAAGACGCGGGGAAAGATGCTGCTGGCCTCAGGGTGACCTAGAACTTGAAGCCCATTTTTGTTTTCAGGAGCCCAGTGCTCCCCTCCACCCCTAAAGAATTTCTCCAAGACGTGGATTTTCATTTCAGTAAGATTGAGGGGTGGATGGGCAGGCAGTGCTGGAGGAGTTGGGAGGCAGGTTTGGGGGTTGCAGTGGGATCACTGGCCCTCCTGGCTGCAGTTTTGGGCCAGGAGCCTGGCACCTGGTGCCAACACCCCAACCTGAGGGGTCCCCCACAAACCGCCAGCCCATCTTACCTCCTGTCCCCCAAGCTGTCTAGTGTTGGAGAGCCAGCATCTGAAGTGTGGAAACAAGCTTTCTCACCAGGTAGGGCATCCGCAGTCAGGACCATTAGGTAAAAACGGAAGCGACAGGTTGTAGGAAGTTATTTGTCTGTGAGGCCGAGAGAACTTCAGCAGTGCCTGGGAATTGAGCAAATTGCCATGTAACACTGACTATCCAGTGTTCAGCGTGTATTGAATTCTGGAACTCTTCCTCCTGTGACGGGCTCAGTCAGAGTCAGCTGTTGCTGCAGAGCAACCCCAGAACCCGGTGGTCTCCATCCACAGATTCCCGTTCTCGGGTAGTCTACAAGTTGACTTCTGGGTTACGCTCCAGGCCCAGGTCTGATCAGGTCTGCTCCGCAACAAGTTCAGTATTCTGGGTCCCTGGTCGAAGTAGCAGCTTTTCCTGGGCCATGTTCTTTCTCATGGCAGAAGCACAAGAGGCTGAGCCCTACCCTGCAGGCACAAATATAGTCCCTGCTCACTTTCGGTTGGCCACAGCACATGGCCAAGCCTGACCTCCGTGGGGAGAGGCAGTGCACAGCCAGGGAACAATCACAGTCTGCATGGGCTGTCACTCCATGACCTCAGTGTTACGAGATGGTTCTCAAGGAATCACAGGATTTGTGGCAGATCACCCATGATGTGTTTCCCCTGACTCTGTAACTGGTAAAAGCTGTTTCCATTAGGAGGGCTCTGTTGGGGGTTTGAGGTGAGATGAGAAAGACGCTGCCTTCCAGCCCCTCGGTTAACAGTGGTGTGGCCCGAGAGCTCCACACAGGACAGTTTTGGGAAAGTGCTGGAATCCAAAGCTTTTCTGGAGGGCTATGCAGGGCACTTTGGAAAGGCCAGGTGTGGGTGCAGGGAGCCCAGCCATATAGGTGGAAGCTGCAGATGGTGAGGGAGGCCTCCGGCCTGGCCCTGCCAGGGCCCCAACTCAGTGAAGGAAGCTGTTGGATACAGGTCACTCAGCCGGGCAGGAAAGATGGGATGAAGCCCAGCAAGCTCACAGGGGTCCGGGGAGCTGTGTGGCTGGAAGCTCAGGCAGGGCCACAGCACGGGGACCATTTGCTGGGCGTGCTGCAGCTGCCACTGCCACTGCCACTGTCAGCATGACACCCACAAAAAGGGAGCCTCCAGACTCACCCCAGCTGCTGCAAGTGCTTCCTCAGCTGTCTTCCCTGAGCTCAAGATTGAGTACCAGGAGGGAGGATATGATCAGGCAAACCTCAGGTGTGTGTTCATTCTATAGCTCCCAGAACATGTGAAGAGAGAGCATCTGGCTCCTTTGTCTCCAGGAGGAGGCAGGACTCTGCCCAAACTCACTCAATAAAAGATTTTCCCAAAAGGAAGGGTGTTCTGATGCCCAAGATGACAGAAGTCCACTACACCACTTTCCTTGGAGATCTGATGTGCACATTTCCTCCCATCCTTACACCTCGGAAATCAGGCTCCCACCTGTCATAACACAGCCATGCCTCATGGCAAGACAACGGTTCATCCTTTCCCTAGGAGAAAAGAGAGGCGATGCCACGCTGCTTCAGCAACCATTAATACTTCGTCCAGCCCTTCACCCCGGGCATCTGTAGGTGTCTCTCCCTCTGGTTTGGCCATGGCGCTCTCTATTTAGAATGTACGGGTTAAAGTCAGCCGACACGCCATGCCATCAGAAGTGCCTCAGGGTCCTCCTTTTCCCAACCTCGTGGTTTTCTTCAGCCAGGATACCATACTGCAGCAGACTGAATGCAGAAGCAACTATGGGAATGCAGCGACCTTCTTTCTGTTAAGCCAGGCTTTAAAGGTCCACAGAAATGCAAAACGATGCCACTCCTACTGACGAAATGCATTTTTTGCTTTGGAAAATATAGGTTTTTAAAAATTTTTAAGTTAATATGTAATGGATGTAGGGTCTTAAAATGAACAAATAAATATTTTGCAGAGTTATTGGCTTTAATTTCTACGAAGCTAAATGTTGGCATAACTAATAAACAAGAGCTCGTTGGGGTCCTCAGTGGTTTTCAAGAGTGTGAAGGGGTCCTGTGACCAAACTGTTTGAGAACTACTACCCTGTATTATCATGGGGGAAAGAAAGAAGGAAAATAAAAGTTTAATTTAATAAATTAAAATCTGTAGGACGTAGTAGGGAAGGAAAAGCACAGCACAGGATGGCTTCTCTGCAGTCCTGATGCTTGTCCGCGGCAGCACCTGGGTCAGTCAGGTTCCTGAAGACAGCAGGGTAACTGACACCTTCATTCGGGGGCCTGAGCCCCATTGCTGGTCCTGCTGGCATCTTCCATTTAATCTCAGCATGAGACATGGACGTGCTCAGAGGAGCCTGGGGGATCACCTGGAATTTGGCCGTGAGCCTCTTGTCTTCATTTTGTAGAGGGAAGGCTATTTCCCCATGACTGTCTGTCAAAGGGGGAGGTGGGGCTTTTCCCAGGGGCTGGGATAGTTGATCCTGACTACTCCAGGGAAACAGGGGTGGACAGTTACACCCAAAGCTCACCAGCCACCTTCTCTGTTTTCAGGATGTCCTGTTTGTTAAACAGCGTCCCTGCAGGGAAGGGAGAGTGGAAGTGGGTTTTGAAACTTTCCTCTGCCGCAGCAGCTCTCTCACTCCCTCCCAGTCTCTCTGCCTGTGGCCCCGCCCCACCCTGGCTCTGGAGCCCAGCCACCCATCAATGTGACCATGCTGTGCCCTCGAAGCCGAAGCTTCCAGTGGAGCTTCAGCAACACTCTGGGACAGGATCTTGGACCACACATCACATTTCTTGCCCCCTCCCAGCCCTGTCACAGGTCTGCCCTCTTGGACACGTGGCCGCCTTCCTTCTTCTCTCCACACAGAGGCCGCCTACTCTGGCCCCCTCTTGGCCTGAGCAGCAGAACCGAAATATGACTGGCCACTCATGGCAGAAGTCCCATCCCCCATGGCCATGCTGGCATTTTGACCCGGCCTTTTCAGGTTTTGACCCAAGGGTGGGAGTAGTGTGGGAAGTTCAGACTCATTCACTAGCCCGAGACTTTCCCAGGCCGGTCCCCTACACACTCCTTAACCAGTAACCAATGAGAACAGGCCAGGGCTCCAGGCCAGTGTGACACATCCAGCCAGGGCTGCCCCTCAGCACCCAAACCCGCACCACCTGGCTGCCCACCACTCCTGCCACCCCACCTCCTGCTCTGCAGCCTGTTTAGTGACAGGGCTCTGGGTTGGGGCCCTTGCTGTCTTGAACCTCACTTAAGGCTCTTTGCTCTACTCAAGTCCTGCCATGCCCTCCTTTGGGTTCCAGCTGGCTTCAGCCTCTCATCTGGTCCTTGTTCCCTGCCCACTTCTTGTCCCCTTGGATGGGACACCTGAACGTGGTCTCCCAACTGACCATGAGAACCAGACTGGACTCTGCTCTAGGCCAGGGCTGCAGGCTATGACCAACAGGGGCTCTGAAGGTGTTAGCCATGCTCCCAAGAGCTAGGGGATCATCTGGAGCCACCTAGACCCAAGTCCCAGCCTCAGGAGGCCAGACAGGGCCAGGGTGTCTGCTCTAGAGTCCCTGACCGTCACCATCCTTCCAGCAGGCATCAGGCAAAAGCCACGAGTGGGAAGGAGGGCATTGCCTGGGATGTCCTTGGAGAACTGTTTGAGGGCCCTTGGCAGGTGAGAGGGGACATTTCATGCAGGCCTCCTAGGGGTCCATGGCTGGCCCATCCAGAAAGGAAGAAGGTGCAGGTGTGGCCCTCAGGAGGGCAGCCAGGCCTGTGTGCCTCCAGTGATACAAGTATAGTGACACAAGAGGGACTGCCTGGAACCAAGCAGGACCTCTGGACAGCTGCCCCAGGGAGGAGGAAGAGGTAGTGCTTGAGTGTAAGTGAGGTGAGCCTGGTGCAGAAACGGGGTGTCGCAGCATGGGCAGGCCCAGGGCTGGGAAGATGGACGATGATGAATGCATCAGTCGGGATGGTTTTGGCTATCATTGACAGTGACTTTAACAATAAAGAGCGTTACAAGAAATCCAGAGGCAGAGCAGCCAGTGAACAGGGTCTTCTGTTCAGCAACTCACCAGGGGTCTCCCACCTCTCCGTCATGCCATCTTCATCCTCAGCTGTTGGCGATATCTGCCCTAGTCACCAGACACAGCTGCAGATGTCTCTACAGACGAGGGGTGGCCGGCAGAGGGGAGTTGCAGTTTACCCAAGCGTCTCCTTTAATCAGGGAGGAAAACCCTCTGCAGAACCCCCGGGGACTCTTCCTTTACTCCCCTAGGTTGAGGTCAGGGCACAGACGAACCCTGGCAAAGGGGGTGCAGCCACCACGAGGGTGCAGGTTTGCCATGGTTCCCACCTAATGGTGTGAAGGATGGGCTCCCGAGCTGAGGACTAGGCCTGCATGGCAGGGGAAGAGCAAGGACTGCAAAAAAGAAAATAGCAAAAGAACCTAAATGCCCCAGAATTGGGGATTAGTTAAATACGTTATACCTACATACGCTGGAATTTTTTGTTTTTGTTTTTGAGCCAGGGTCTTGCTCTGTCACCCAGGCTGGAGTGCAGTGGCAGTTACAGCTCTCCGCAGTCTGGAACCTCCTGCGCTCATGATCCTCCCAGCTAAGCCTTCCGAGTAGCTGGGTCTACAGGCCCGCACCATCACGCCTAATTTTTGTTGTTTTGATAGAGACGAGGTCTCCATGTTCCCCAAGCAGGTCTTGAACTCCTGGGCTCAAGTGATCTCTCACCTCAGCCTACTGAGTAGCTGGGACTAAACCACTGTACCCAGTTAATTTTTATTTTTTGCTTTTTTGTAAAGATAAGGTCTTGTTTTGTTGCACAGGCCAGTCTCGGACTCCTGGGCTCAAGCGATCCTCCTAACTTGGCCCCCCAAAGCACTGGAATTATGGGTGTGAGCCGTCGTGCCCAGCCTATGCAGTCTTTTAAAAAGATGTTTTACTCAGAACTTGGTAAATTCCTCGAATATTGAATAGTGAGTAAATGCTCTGAATACTGAGTCCAAGAAAACTCAACAGAATGCCAAGTGGAGCTGGGGGTGGCAAGACAGGGGTTGAGGAGGGAAATTCGGGAGAAACGCTTTGTTAAGGTGTGTGCAGGAAAAAGAAGTCTGGAAGAAAATGAGCCAAAGTGATACCAGTGCTTTATTTTTCTTTCTACTTTTCTGTATTTAACCGCTTTTCTGCAATGCGAATGTCTAACTTTTATATTCAGAAAGGTAATTTCCACCACTGCCCCAGGGCCAGTGAGTACACAGAGGAAGGTCTGAGCCATATGTGTGGAGGATAAGGTGATAAGGTGAGGGGGTGGGGTAGGAAGAAAGAGGAACTCAGGGCTGAGACTGAGATGGGACCCAGGTGCTGAGGCAGGGGACAATTCAAGAGTACTTCCTGGTGGGGAGGAACTTAGGGCAAACCGAGACTGAGATGGGACCCAGGTGCTGAGGCGGGGGACAATTCAGGAGTACTTCCTGGTGGGGAGGAACTTAGGGCAAGCTGATACTGAGATGGGACCCAGGTGTTGAGGCGGGGGACAATTCAAGAGTACTTCCTGGTGGGGAGGAACTTAGGACAAGCTGAGACTGAGATGGGACCCAGGTGCTGAGGCGGGGGACAATTCAGGACTACTTCCTGGTGGGGAGGCAAAGGGGTCTCCAGAGGGACCTCCTCGAGGAGGGTAGAGGGCAGCAGCAGCCCCGGCTCCAGGACCCCAGACCCTTTGTCCTTGCCTCAGGCAAGGCTTCACTCACAGCAGGGCCTTCCTCTCTCCCTGCAATCCCCCTAACACGGCCAGCCCCCTGGTGACAGCCCGCATTCATTTATTTCTTATTCTTTGGTGTTAATTTTTAGTAGAGATGGGATCTCCCTAGGTTGCCCAGGCTGGTCTTGAACTCCCAGGCTCATGTGATCCTCCCACCTCGGCCTCCCAAAGTGCTGGGATTACAGGCATGAGCTACTATACCTGGTCACAGCTCACATTTGATAGCTGAAAGGGGGTCTCCCCATAGGCCATATCAGTTCCTGTGTGGCGTCACCTGGAACCTGAGCCCACCCTGAGCAGCCTCAGATTCTCACAAGTCCTGTGGGCACTGGCCCCCACGCTGACAAAGACTGCTCCCAGGCCCAGCCACCAGGCTTGTTTCAGCTCTGGAGGAAGTGGCTGCTTTCAGAGTGAGAGAATCCAGGGCATACAGTTCTCTGGTGCAGACTGGCTGTTCCCCTCCATTCACTCTGGCACTTTGAAATCACACAGATGTGGCCATCAGAATGCACTGGCACCATCCCAGAGACAGAGGCAGAACACACCTTGGGAGCAAAGGGTCCCGAGAAAAAGAGCTGTCTGCTCAGGGAGCCGAGACCTGGGTTTAAGTCCCCCAGGGGAGCCATGTGACCCAGGACAGACCACTGACTTCTCCCAGGGTCATCTTCGGGGGTGAACCTTGTGAAATCACCAGGGTGGTCACCATTGTGAGCAATGGCAGCCTGAGACACAGAGGAGCCAACCTGAACTCTGGTGTTCCTGAGTGGGGCTGGAATACCCCAAGGATTTCCTACCACACACCCCCAGCCAGCCTTACAGGTATCCCCTGCAGCCGTGCTGGCCCTCAGCCTGCAGGGTCAGAGCCTCCCTGCACTTGCTCACGGGCACCCCTGAGTGGCTTGCTCTGGGTGGGCCACGAACATCACAGGTTTTCTCATGCTCTCCCCCCAGCCTGGTTCAGCTGGGCCCTGCCTGTTGATTGTAATCCCACTGTGCCTGGTGCCTGGTAGGAGATCAACAAATGATTCTAGAGCAAGGGAAGCAAGCAGTGGGTCTGGACCCCTAGGTGACTCACTGACAGACACAGCCCCAGTCCCTCGCTGCTAGGACAAGGGGCAGAGGCACAAGCCCAGGCAGCACACCCCAGGATAGTCTGCTGATCTCCTGCGGCGGACAGCAATACCATAGAC